GACCAACTTGGTCCTTACCTCTGTAGGTAGGCACCGTAGGTAGTCCGTTAGGAGAACCTGCGGGTCAAAACGCACACCAGGTACCACGAGGAGGCGTTCTACGGTGTCTGTAAGCTCTCTAACATCCTTGAACCTACGGGAACAAAGGTTGTTGATAGCATCGGTGGCCTTTTGAGCCCCTTGCGGGTCATTCCACCTGTTGTAGATGGACCGTACGAACTGTTCCAATGTCTGAGACTGAGCCCAGGCATTGAAATCCTGACCGTAGCCCTGTTGCTGCACCAAGCCATTCAACCAGCGGGCTGCTAATCCTTCTAAAAAGGAGGCAGCCACCACAACTTCCTGTTCTGGCCTTGTGAGCTTGTGCCTCACATAAGTAGGCACAGTCCTCACCCAGGTGTCCAAGTCTTCCTCCTTCTTCTTGTCTCCAGAGAAAGGCTTGGGACTCATTAGAGGTATCTTGGGCATCCACTGCATCGGCTGCATGGGCCCAAGTGCTTGCTGCAGCGGCTGCATAGCCACTGAAACAGGCTGTTGCACACTAGCTTGGGCCTGGCTGGACAGTGGGACTGTAGTGACCATTGTTGTAGATGGTACGGCTGAGACTGAATGAACCGGACCACTAGTTGCTACTAAACCACCCGGGGAGGGTATGCCAAACATGGGAGAGAAAGTTTGCCCTGTGCGTTGCGGCATCGACGATGGACCCGCACCTATAGGGGGAACTACAGCAAACGGCGGCTGCCTCACCATTGTGCGAGGGCCCCGAAGTTCAGCCAGAATTTGTTTCTGGCATGCTACCAAATCAGCCAACAATTCCTGCTGGACGCTTTGCGCTTCCGCTTCTGAAAGTAAGGTTCCTCGCAACACACGAACAACAGAATCCAATATTGACTCATCCAGTCTTTCTAGTCTGCCTAGCCCCTGAGCTCTACTCTCTAGTCTAGCTTTTCTTTGCATAGCTTTCCTTCTCCTCTCTACTACTTCGTCCATCTGCCGCTGTAGCTCATCCTGAAGTTCTTCTGCTTGCCGGATTTCCAAATCCTCCGGCGTGATAGGAGATTGGCTGACTCGCACATGACCAATCTGACTAGTGGCTGCCTGAGTACCACTCTGACTGACTCCTGACGAAGTGGGCTGTGTAGAGGATTGTGTCATAGATGAGGTAGCCATGGCTGTACTGATGCTAGTTGTAATTCTAGCTCTAGCACTGTCCTCAGCTGCCCTCGCTTTCCTTGCCGCTGCCCTCTCTCTAGCCTCTCTCCTCAATCTTCTCTCGTCTCCTGGACCTAACTCCACGAATGTCAAGGGTCGACTGCGGGCAGTTCCGCGAGTAGTCCTACGGTCGTCCACTAGTAGCTCCTCCTCACTTGTGCTTGCATCACTCATGAGCTACAGTGTGTGTGATCTAAACTAGAACCCACACTGAATCCTACCTTAGCTTGACACACAACCGATTATGAAACACAACTACTTTCGGTCGGATGGGACAAAACAGTTGGGTGATATAGTTACAACTAATGTCAGGTCCTACAGGATATATTACATCTATTTTTAGATTACCCTGGAACAAATTGCAATACAGCAAAGATCTAATCTATCTGTAGCTGTCTGTCAGTTGTCATCAAGTCTGTAACAACTAGATAATCAAAACAAAGAATAACATCTCCTGTTGGAGATGTATGCTTGATAGCAGATTGTCTGTTGATTGCCACTGCGAACAGTTACCGGAATCCCCCCTCCCCCTGTATCCTTCTTGAGTAATCACTTTGTGTCAACATCCCTGAGCATCTGGTTGAGCAGCGTGTCTAAAGGTGTGCAATCCGGTCCCACCCCTGTGCCTCAAGTCATCGTCGAGCAAGGCAGCCACAACACTGTTATTTACCCTCGTACGCCGACGAGCCTTACACGCGGTTGATCTGGCTGATCAGGAGGATTATTAAGAGCGCCCCCATCTCTTCAGGAATTATTTAACGTCGCAGTCAGGATGACGATCACAGCCAGATTCAATCCGAGTCCCCAACCAGAAATGTTTATAGACGGTCTGGTGAGCGTCTCATAGAGGCTGCCATGCCCGAGTTGACCCCTATTTGCGCAAGCAGCAGAACAAGGACTTGCAGCCCAAGCATGCGTGTACTAGTCCCATCGGGTTGGCATGGTGACCGTGACCCGAGTGCTTCGTCCAGGGCCCTTCAGAGACTTCGCCCGTCCCCCACCAGCTTGCTGCCCAGGAAGAATGTCGACTCTCAAGGTTGAGCGCTCGCGACACCTCACATTGAGAGGACTCTCAAGAC